TAACTGAACTGTACTCTCCCATGGAATTTCCCTCACTTCCTTGTTTCTTGCCTGATTCAATCATAACAACCTTGCTGACTTTCAATTGTGCCTATGATTTTCACCTTAATCCTATCAGGTCCCAAAGTAATTTTTCCAGGCAAATTAGTGATCATCTCCCAACTATTTGGACCTTGGAGTCTGCCATTCTATATACAACAGAATATACTATAAAAGCACACTCCATACTGTACTGAATCATTTACTGCCTTTCCTAGACCAGCCACATACTTGGCCTGATCTGGAGGCTAAAATATGGAGTTCCATTCATCATCTTTGGAAGAGCTATCTTGAAGGCAGCATCTCCAGAATCCCACATGCCACTAGACTTAAACCTAAAAGAAGCTGGGACTGGGCACTGGACAACTTCACTGAACTCAGTCACCACTGCCAATGTCCCCAGTTCTGTGAATATATGAAGTGCAGTGCATTCAGGCTGCCATGCTGGGCTTACATAGGCTACAGTCATTCCTGGAGTTTAAAGGGGACAAAAATGCTGCTGAGACCTACATATCTGGGGACCAATGGCTGAAACCACAAAGGAGCTACACTCACTTGAAAAATAGGCGTATGCTATAGACAACACAAAACAATGGGCCCTGCACCAGCCAGGAGTTGCCAGCCAGAGAAGGTGGACAAATAGATGCCCAGAGCAACTCTCAGAGCCCCAGATGCTCCCAAGAAATTGCTGAAAACTAAGGCTTAGGACAGACTAGAACCCAGAAAAGAAAGGGACCCCAGTCTTGGTCATGGTTCATTGCACAAATCCTTTCTATCAATGCCCTGGAAGGAGCTCATGTACCCCAGAGGGAACCCTCATGCTGTTCTTGTGGGCTTTCATAAGACTGTGCCCTGCCTGGAGCTGGAAGTCTCTGCAGTGGAGATCCTTCTATATTTCGTTCTTCCCCCTTGAATGCCTCAAGGTTTTTCAATCGGAAAAGTTCTATTTGCATAATCAATATTATGTGCTAAGGAACTTTTAGATCTTCTCAGAATTCATAGTTCTTTGTACATGATGAAGCCTTCTTCCATATTCTCCACCTGTGAAATAGATTTGAGGTGGGTGGAGTCAGGATTAGAAATACATATAGGTGAGCAGCGGCATGAAAGGGACTGGTACCCAGGTCAGAGCTGGAGGCTGAACTCCAGGGAGCCTTTGAATAGCTATGGATACCAACAGGGTGGGAAGGGGCAGTGGGCCACTGCTCTTGGGTTCTCTTGAAACTGAGCTCGGCCCCCCTGCTGAGAGCAGAGAACCATCAATAAACGTTCCTTCAGTGGTCTGAAGTTTACATTAATAGGGTGGAGGTGGAATTTAAATTTAGGGGGACATGAGGAAGACCCCCAGCCCTGTGCCTTTTGAATTGACAACCATGGGATTCCAGGGCATCAGCTCCAGGTCAGGCATTCCAGGCAGTTGCAGAATTCTGCCAATGTGGGGCCCGTCCACCTCAAAAATCTACATGGATTGGATCCAGCAAAACAATATTCAGCAAAACTTCAAGATTCAACAATACTGGAGGCTCAAGTACATCACTGGTGCATACTTGGCCCAGGGAGGCTATTCTCTCACAATCTCTACCATTTCGGGGCCTGCAATATCTGAGACTCACTCCTTCCTGCAGTAATCCCAGAAGAAAGATTTATGCATCACCATAGCTTCAACCCACAGTGTGTCAGGAACAGAAAAATGGTTGTCTTTAGAAAGAGATGGAAAAAACATGCAGTAGCAATCACGCTTTGGATGTTGAAGCTTTTCTGTCACCTTAGTTAGAAACTAAAACCCAGAAACTCAGTGTTCACATTAATTTTGTCTAGCTATGAGGACGTTTTTTTCCCACATATTCACAGTTTTAAATTTGAATATAGAGGAGCTTAGGTGCTACGATCTGAATAGAACATGATAATAAAACTGTCTTTGCCTTGCACTTCTTGTTAGATTAATTAAATGCCAATTATCAATACAAAAAATGGCAATAAATTGTCAAAGTGGAATTGGAAAGTGTTTTTGTGATTTGGACATGGAGCGGGCTTCCCATGTGACCATTCTCACTTCCTGTTCTGAAGTCTTACTGTCTGCTTTTCTTTCTCTCCCACTCCTCATTGTTTCTTCTAGTGGCTGGCATTTGGGTACTCTGGGAACTGAGCTTTCATCTCCTACGTTAGCCATAGAGATGAGGGCTTTGAGGGCACCATGGAATCAGAGTTTTGGAAATGACTTAGAAATCACAGGCACTCAAGCCCAACAGAGCTTAAAGGGAAAAAAAAATTTAATTAGGAGCAACAAAAACAAAATGAGAAGACTGTTAAATTCTACAATTCTACAGAGAAGAATTGCAAAAAAAAAAAAAAAAAAAAGAAAGAAGGAAATGATATGACAATTTAAAATGATATCAGAAAATATAACATACAGAGCCAGATGGATTAGAGAATATGATGAGATGGTTTTAGAAGGCAGGATGGAATTTGAAAAAAAAAAAATAACATTTTAAAAATAGAAATGGGCCAGACTTGGTGGCTCACGCCTGTAATCCAAGCACTTTGGAGGCCAAGGCGGGTGGATCACCTGAGGTCGGGAGCTCAAGACCAGCCTGACCAACATGGTGAGACCCCGTCTTTATTAAAAAAATAAAATAAAATAAAGAAATGTAAAGGGAGCTGGAAAGAGAAATTGAACAACAGGAAATGAATGCCATGCTGCTCTGAAATAACAGCTGAAAATTAGTGTGTCAATTTTAGAGTTTATTGCATTATGATAAACAAATAGATAAACAAATATAAGTGCATGTACCAGTTATGAAAACATGTCTTAAAATAAGGACTATGATATCTCTATTACTCAATGTCATGCTTCTAATAGTTGTGTGTGTGTGTGTGTGTGTGTATTTTTTTTTTTTTTAATGAAAGAAAAGCCTCTATAAATGTGGCTCCTAAATATCTAACCCTCGAGGTTGTTCTTTTGCAGGAGTTTGTTCTTTTTGCCCCGCAGCCGAACCTAGGGAGGCAGCATGGGATGGAGTTCGGAAACATCCTGCAAGTCCATGACACATGAAGAGCCGCTATGGTAGTGCAAGGACCCCAGAACTAGAGATACTGTTTAGGAGAAGTGGCGCAATCGACCCATAAGTAGTGCTGCCACGGAGATCAATCCTGCTTGGGCGAATGAGCAGTGCTGTAACTGAGAAAGTACCAGTATAAGGAAACGGGGTACTGGGACATCATAGTAAAAGGAGTTAGCCAGATTGCTTTAGGCACACAGTAAGGGAAATGTCCCCAAAGAACCTCTGGAATAAGGGAACTTGCACAAGGTGCTGGCCTAAACATGCCCTCTAAGGACTAAGGGCCCGCATGCGGACAGGGGGAATGGTGGTGAAGCCACCAGGAATTCACACCTTATACAAACAGGGAACACAGTCCCATCAGCTTTTATATAAAAGCTCTTGTGTTAAATGTAAAGGGAGCAACCCGAAACCTGCTTTCAGGACCCCTCTTTTTGCTTTATTAAGCTTTCCTTGTCGCTTAATAAATTCTATTCCACTTACTCTTCAATGCCCACGTGCCCATTTCTTCTGATCATGAGACAAAAACTCGAACTTGACCGGGCACGATGGCGGAAGCCTGTAATATCAGCACTTTGGGAGGCCGAGGCGGATGGACTACCTGAGGTCAGGAGTTCAAGACCAGCCTGGCCAACACGGTGACTTGGTGAAACCCTGTCTCTACGAAAAATACAAAAATTAACCGGGAGTGGTGGCGTGTGCCTGTAATCCCAGCTATTCGGGAAGCTGAGACAGGAGAATCTCTTGAACCTGGGAGGCGGAGGTTGCAGTGAGCTGAGATGGCACCATTGCATTCCAGCCTAGGTGACAGAGCGAGCCTCCGTCTCCAAAACAAAGAAAAGAAAAGAAAGAAAAGGAACCCGGACTTAGCTGAGCTAAGGAGCCAAAATCCTGCATCAATAGCAAGTGCCGACACTGAACAACTAGCGGTGTATCCAGCAGCAGACTATATTTTTGGCTCGTTTAAGGTATTACCACTAAGAAACTGTTGTGTCTCAGAAATATCGGGGCTTGGAAGGTTGTACGGTGCTTCCACCGAGAAAGCGCCTACCTAGTGAAATACGCCAGTGACAGAAAAACTGAGGCCAGGCCGTGCCAGCGAGGGTCTGGCCAATCATGGTACTGAAACAGCCAGCCAGCCCGGGGAAAGTAGCGGTGCTAGGGCCCAGGAAGCGATGTCACAAAGAACGTTTGAGTCTTGTGAACGAGGAATGTCGTTTTATTCAGCGCTACCAAGGGAGCAGCAATCGAGAAAACAAGGAGTCGCCGCTACTAGCGAAAGTGCGATGCGAAACCGCCAGTTCGGCATAGGAGCAGAGCCGTGGAAGAGCACCCTAATGGTCGAGCACCAGCTCGCCCCTGGTGCTCATGGGAGAAGGCAAGTTAGCAGGAACCTGAGACGTGATACTGGAAATCAGTAGAAAATAAACGCAATATTTACTTTACCAGGAAAGACAGTGGGTAAGGAAAAAAAAAAAAAATACCGTAACATTTAAATTAAGTAATGAATTTTTTTTTTTTTTTTTTTTTTGAGACGTAGTATCGCTCTGTTGCCCAGGCTGGAGTGCAGTGGCACGATCTTGACTTACTGCAAACTCCGCCTCCTGGGTTCATGCGATTCTCCTGTCTCAGCCTGCTGAGTAGCTGGGATTATAGGTGGGTGCCACCACGCCTGGCTGATTTTTTTTGTCTCCTTAGTAGAGACAGGGTTTCACTATGTTAGCCAGGATGGTCTGATTTCCTGATCTTGTGATCCGCCCGCCTGGGCCTCCCAAAGTGCGGGATTTCAGGTGTGAGCCACCGTGCCTGGCCTGAAAATTTTAAAAGCAAATAGAAATGAAATAAAATACACCAATAACCTTGCTCCCAGAACAAGATACACACACACACACACACATACACACACAGAGCAATTGCAAACAGTGTCGAACGGTGCCATACTACCATTCTATTTGTTAGCACTAAACCCGTGCCTCTCTTGTGCGCCTATCCAAAGTTTCCTTGGATTTAGGAGAAACAGCTATAGGGAAACCGGCATTTGCGACACCAAAATTTCCTGTAGCTTACATACCCAAACTTCTATATGAGTGAAAAATCACCACCATAGCCAGAGCGAGACTACTGTGAAATCTAATTTGATATGACTAAAAGATTCCAGACACTACTAAATTGTTTAATTGCATTTTGCAGTACCCAGATTAATACAGGAGTTATAAAACGCACGCATGGCTATAAAGGGGGTTCCTATTATGAAACAGGAACTTGCTACTAAAAAGTTATGTAGGCACGGTTAAAGCCAGAATTGTTACGACTAGAAATCGCAAACTGGAATAAATCTCAACTTGCTACGGTAAGAAATAACTAAACTCTGACTTGGTGGGACTAAGAAATCAGGAATTTGAGACCAGCCCAGGCAACATGGCGAAACCCAATCTCCACAAAAAAATACAAAAAAATTAGCCGTGCGTGGTGGTGCGTGCCTGTGGTCCCAGCTACTCCAGAGGCTGGGGTGGGAGGATCGCTTCAGCCCAGGAGGTAGAGGTCGCGGCACTGCACTCCAGCCTGGGCGACAGAGCCGGACCCTTATCAAGACAGAAAGAGACAGAAAAGAAAGAGAACCAAAGAAGAGAAATCACCATCGCACAGTTAAGTCTCCCTTGCTACACAGCTAAATAGTGACTTCCTAGGGCTAAGAAATCGCAGCCAAGACTAGACCGGGGTTTGTCCTAAATCGGGACTTGCCTGGGCTGAGAAAATCACATTTTGGCTATTGACTTGGACAAGAGGTAGAAATCACAGGCACTGAGTAATCGAAACTTGCTAGGACCAAGAAGCCAACGACGCGAGAAACTGCAGGGGCCTGCGACAGAGGCGCGAGCGGTGTGGCCACAGAACTGGGTTCTGGAGGCCGAGCCGGAGCCCGTGAGGCGGCGCTGGTGGCTCTGGGAAGAGACGACGCCCAGGCAGCTCCCCGCCAACGACTCCAAGGATTAGCGGGTTTGCCAGCCTCCGCGCAACTGGCAGCGACTCCAAATCCCTCAGATCGGCGACCTGAGAGCTGCCACCACCGAGAAAATGGAGGCAACAAACTGCCGCGACCAAAGAACTCGACTCGGCGAAATAGCAGTGCCCGGAGCCTGCGAGTGACGCCAGCCGGAGGGGTTGCCAAGGACAATATCCGTTTTGGCGCTACTAACGGTGCTGTCGCGGAGAAAATGTCGACCCTCGGAAAAGAGGTTCTGGGACCGAGAAATTCGGTGCAACAAGTGCTGTGACAGAAAACCCCACCGCTGGCGCTGCTGGCGAAAAAGCGAATGAAACGCCGGGTGCTGCGACTGTGATACTGACTTTAGGACACGGTCCTCGGATGGTGAAAGGGACTGTCAGGAGCCACCACGTAATCTCCTACTGTGTTCAAATAGCGAAAGTGCTAACGAGAAATTGCCGGATGAGTTTACCTATGGGTGCTTCGCGCGGGACCCGCAGATTCGACAAACCAGAGGACTGGGACCTAGTACACTTCGACAAGTGGGAAATGGCTTACCAGCACAAATATTGCTTCTGGCTCGATGGTGCTGTCCATGAACATCCGCTGGCTCTAAGAAACGAGCTGCAGTGTCAGTTAGAAACCATGGGCACTGAGAAACGAGCGGGCTGCAACCGATCAACTGCCCACCCAGTGCCACTACGTTAAAGTACTGCGGGCAATACTCCCATCCTCCGTCCTCAGATGAATCCCCTCCCGCTTAAGGAGAGCTTTATTTTTCAAGGCCGGGTGCCTGGGCTCACGCCTATAATTCCAGCACTTTGGGAGGCCGAGGCGGCTGGATCACGAGGTCAGGAGTTCAAGACCAGCCTAGCCAAGATGGCGAAACCCCGTCTCTACTAAAAATACAAAAATTAGCAGGGCGCGGTGGCAGGTGCCTGTAATCCCAGCTACTCGGGAGGCTGGGGCAGGAGAATCGCTTGAATTCGGGGGCGGGGCTGGGGGGGCGGGGCTGAGGTTGCAGTGAGCCGAGATGGTGCCACTGCACTCCATCCTGGGCGACAGAGTGAGACTCAGCCTCGAAAATAGAAAGAAAAAAAAAGAAGGCCTTTATTTTTCATAGCGAATTCGGGATCCCTGATTACCCAGCGTCCCAGCAACCGACCCCTTGCGATGTGCATGGGAAAAGGAGGGAGTGTAGGGACTGAGACCCAGGCGGATTAGACAGGGATGGGAACAAAGTAAAAGCCATTCGAGTCCCCAACCGTTTCCCACTGCAAAGAACAGACCTTCCAGTGGCTGGGCTCGACCCTTTTCCTGGTCAGAGCCCTCAAGGCTCCTAAGGACGAAGCTGACATCTCATCTCTTTGGAACTTGAAGCTCTCAGTCCAAGACCTCCGTGGAGAGTGAAAGACACAGTGCCGCCAGACACAGTGCTGCCCAACCCAGGCTTTAGGCCTGCCCTGGCAACCAGGTACCTCTTCAGGGGATGGAACTCTGTGGGGACTGCTATTTTATTCTGATGGTTGACTCTGTCAGATGGCCTTGAAATATGGGAATAATCGTTGGAAGATGGTAGGGGAAATAAGAACTGTAAGACTTTAGCAGAGGATGTGTAGATTGATGGTGAGGCCTCTGCTCTGTCTCCCCTTGAAATCTTCAAAGGGCAGTTCCCATTTCTATCACCTTTGACCTTTGAAATTAATCCCTGATGTCTTCTCCATCTTTGGGAAGTGCAATGCAATTTCAAGCTCTTGAATCTTCCCTCTCCCCCATTTGTCAAATATACTGACACTACAAACTCCTTTCTTATAGAGGAAGCATGAAACTGCCATTAAGCAAAAGGAAAACATCACTTTCCGGAACCTTTCTGGTTTCTCTAAAAATCTACACTTTTGGAAGTGATCCCCCAGAGAGACCTCCAGACTCTACCATGAATGTCTCCAGCTGTATTCATCATGTCTAAGCCTCACCCTAGCTTATCCTGTTCAAATCATTTCCACCTTTTTCTGGGTGAACATGGGTGGATGTCAGACCAGAGGAGAGCACAGAATGCACTAGACAGGTAAGAAGACCCATTTTTTTTTTTAGTAATATATATATTTTAGTATTTTATTTTAGAATTTATAAAGTAGTTTGCCATTGATCCTATAATTTGTTATAAAGTAGGTCCGATAATCACATTTTTTTCATGCTGAAGCTGAGATATAAACGATTATGGGTTTTTTTTTTGTGGGAAAAATTGGACAAAATACAGAATTATCAAAACTAGATTCACTGACTCTATTATGTCTGCTAGGTGTAAGAAAATGACAGTCTTCTAATATTTATTGAGAATCTGTAACTGTAGAAATTTTAAGAGGTTTTGAGTCCATTCCAGTATAAATATAAGGCCAAAGTGCTCCTGTAAAATCATCATTAAAAGTATAGAGTAGAGATCTATCGTTCAAATTATAAAAGGAAACTTCATTCTTTTCATAGTCTAAAAAAATGCCAGTCTTACAGGTGTTACTTTTGGCAGCAGATTAATTCCCTTATGACCCAATACAATAATACAATATAATTATCCCGACCAGATCGCCAAATTCCCCATAATCCATCCTGTACTAAAGTTGGTGGACTCCTTCTGGGAAGAGAGTCATTACAGACACCAAGGATCCATTCAGGCTTCTCTTTCACTTCTACTTCCCAGTACTGCTGGCCACAACTATAGCCTTTAGAACCCAGGCAATAAAGTCTTCTTGGGTTTGGAGGTAAGTTTTGCATTGTATTTCCGTATCACAGTTTTTCTGTCTGCTGAGACTGTAGTTTAAAATGTGCTGTTTCAGGATCTAGAATGACATCTACTTGAAATCGCTTGATAATTTTGTTTAGGCCAGAATATTGTGGAGGCAGACAGTAACCATATTCTTTTAATCTGAATGAAAAAGGTTGAGGGAATTTTAAATTTTTGTATCTGTGATAGATATCCTTAACATTTGCCAGTAATTCCAGTCCTGACTTCACATATATGCTATCTCCTTTAGTAGATATTTTAATGAGGAGATATAATCTAAAAATTTTGTTTACTTGTGTTAAATAGCCATCTCTTCATCTTGTAATTGCCCAAGAACAGTCTCTTGCTCATTTTGGAGAAATAACCTAAGTTGCTCAAATTCAGACTTGCCTCCTTCTTCCCTATGTTTTACCTTTTTCTTCAGTTCTAATGATTTTCTGGTTTGCATAGTTAGACTCATTTTGTGCTCTCACTTTTCACTCACTCCAAAGGTGGTTACCTCCAGTCCTCCTCTCTATACCCCACCTTTTCTTCAGCTCCCAAAGGCATCTTCAATTGCTTCCTTTTGCAGGCAGTAGAATAAAGGAAAGAGGTCAGTGTCAATAGAAGAAAAGTTACAGCCACTTTATCTAATTGAAGATACTGTGCAGAGCCTTTGAAAAAAACAAAATATCTTGCCCACCATTCCCCTCTCTCCATTTCCACGCTAGCATCCTATTTTAGCAAAAATGCTGGAATCAGCACCTCTGGAGGGAAGGGGTCACCCTTCCAGGTTAGGAGTGTGGAGAGGAGCTATGGAGCTCACTCCCCTAAAGGAGGGGGCATTGTAGTTCCAGCATTCAGTTTCTGTCTAATTCCAATATGGTGTTTGTGTGGGGTGGTCAGAGACAGGGCAAGTCAGAAACTGCATATTCCTGAGGAAGAGACTATAAGATATTTGCATTTGGAAAATGAGAAGAGGTGCTGATATGCATTGGCTCCGTGTCCCCACCCAAATCTCACCTTGAATTATAATAATCCCCATGTGTCAAGGGTGGGACCAGGTGGAGATAATTGAATCACGGGAGTGGTTTTCCTCATGCTGTTCTCATGATAATGAGTGAGTCTCAAGAGATCTGATAGTTTTATAACCATCTGGCATTTTCCCTGCTGGCACACTCTCTCCTCTCAGCCCTGTGAAGAGGTGACTTCCACCATGATTGTAAGTTTCCTGAGACCTCCCCAGCCTTGCAGAGCTGTGAGTCAATTAAATCCTCTTTCTTTATAAATTACCCAGTTTATTCCACCTGATTTTGGTAAGAATAAATAAATGAATAAATAAATTACCCAGTCTTGGATATTTCTTCATAGCAGCTTGAGAACAGACTAATACAGATGTGGTGGAGCTGGGTGCTGGATGGCAATGTCAGGTATATGCAGGTTCCAGGCACCAGATCAAATCTAGAATGAAAATTGTGGGACACAAACCACAAATGATGTCCAGCCTTTAATACTTTCCTTCATTGTTTGTCATATAAAAAAAACGAAGAAAAGCTTTTTTTTTTTTTTTTTTTTTTTTTTAGGTGGAGTCTTGCTCTGCTGCGCAGGCTAGAGTGCAGTGGCATGATATTGGCTCACTGCAACCTCTGCCTCCTGGGTTCAAGTTATTCTCCTGCCTCAGCTCCTGAGCATCTGGGATTACAGGTGCACACCATCACACCCAGTTAATTTTTGTATTTTTAGTAGAGATAGTGTTAGACCATGTTGGCCAGACTTGTCTCAAAATCCTGACCTCAAGTGATCTGCCTGCTTTGACCTCTCAAAGTCCTGAAATTACAGGCATGAGTCACAATACCCAGTTAAAAAGTGTATTTTTGAAAAAAAAATCATATTTTTGTAAAATTTTAACAAGATAAACCTAGCTAAACTAATATATACTATATACTAATATATAATATATACTAACAAAACTTGAGTTATTATTGACTAAAGGAAGGTGACACAAAATGGAAACATTTTTAAACATTCAAAAAAAAAAAAACAAAATCAAGGGTAGTCTTTACACAGAAGAGGTATGCACAGGTGAATTGTCTGGGAAGTCAGGAAATTGCACAGAAGCTATGCAAGTCATAGATTAGAAAGGCAAGAATCTACATTCATGCTTTCCAGAACAGATGAGGAGATACTTTTTCTCAACCTTCTTAGATTCAATGGCTGAGCAGGGAGTGCTGTGAATTCATCTGACAACAGACAGGTTAACAGGAGAAAACGCATATATGTTTATTAATTTTTAATCTAATATGCATGGAGGCATCATAGATAGAACTGAATATCTAAAAAAGTGGTGAAATTTGAGACTTTATATATCATCTTAATGATAATGGCAGGAGGCAGACAAATCCTAGGGAAACAAGGGTGGGTCCTGGTGAAACCCCATCTTCAATCCAAAGACAGTTTAAAGTCTGAAAGCCAAGCTGCAAGTCTCCGATAAATCCACTGACTGGATCAAGAATCTCTCTTCTCATTTAGCACATTTTCCTCTAATTGATCCCCACACTTCCCCTAGTGCATTTTCCTCTGATTGGTCCCCATACTTCACCTATTTTACATATACCTACCCTTCCCTAATTGGTTTTTTACACAGTTGTGCCTACCTTTGAGTGGTGCCTTTGTTTTAGCCTTTTTTTGCATATGCACAAACAAATCAGCATACATGCCCCCATTCTGATCCCATAAAAGCCCCAGACCCAGCCACATTGGGAGAGAGACCACTCAACTTCTGGTGGAGGACCACCCTCGAATCCCCTCTCCACTGAGAGCTGTTTTGTGTTTCAGTAAAACTCTTCTCTGCCCTCCTAACTTTTTCGTTGTCAGTGTAACCTCATTCTTCTTGGATGCAGGACAAGAACTCAGGACCCACCAAATGCAGGCACAAAGAAGGCTGTAAAATGGAAAGCAGCTGTTGGACCGAGTCAGCCCCAGAGCTTTAGGCCAGAGTGGGACCATGGGACTGATAGAGCTGTTAACATACTAACATCTGTGAGGCTGCAGAGAGTGGGACTAAAAGAGCTAATAGCATGTTGTAACACCCCCTCTGGGGCTTCGGGGTTGCAGGTACACCTGTTTGGGTGCCACCATATTCTCCTCATCTGGACACCAGAGTCCAACATAGGAGTCACTTGCAACATGCCTGGTCCAACCTCAAGTCCCACATGGAAACTGCTCTTGTGCTGGCACTTGGAGCACCCAGTGCCAGCACAGGAGCACACTCACTGCCTCCTGCCAGGGGCTGAGTGCACAGTCACAGGGGCCACGGGATCTGTACCAGAGGGCAAGCCAGGAACAGCCCAGTAAGCTGAGTAGAAAAGCCACCTCCTGTGGTGAGCCTGGGCCCCAGCAACGCCTGGGCAGGGGCAAGGGCATTGTTAGCCAGAGGTCTCTGGCTGGCAAAGTGGCTGAGAAAAATCCTGTGTCATTAGGAGATGGGGAGGGGCAGAGGGGCACTTATGGAAATACAAATGACTTTTTTAGAAGATAAATGGTCCTTTAGAAGAATAAATAATAGATATGACAGCTTTTAGAGAATGCCTGTTTGGGTAGGGTCATTGTAATCCCCCAACGATTTCATTTTGCCCATTGTCCACAAAAGCCAATGCACTGAGAATAGCAGCTTTTTTGCAGCAGAGAAAGAGTTTAATTATTGCAGGGCTGGCCAAGTAGAAGGACAGGAGTTCATTCTGAAATCCATCTCCCTGAGAATTCTTAGGACAGCATTTTTAAAGGACAGTTTGGTGAGCAGGGTGCTAGGGGATGGCGACTGCTGATTGGTTGGGTTGGGGATGAAACTATTAGAGGGTTGAAGCTGTCTTTGTGCACTAAGACAGTTCCTGGGTAGGAGGTCACTGGTCTGGGTATCAGTTGTTCTACCAGAAATGCAAAGTCTGAAAAATATCTCAAATACTGGTCTTAGGTTTTACAATGGCAATGTTATTTATAGTAGCAATTAGGGAAGTTACAAATCTTGTGACTACCCTTATGTGACTCCTGAGTAGTAAACAATGACTTATCATTTAACTGTGCATAAGTGTTAGCAGAATTCAGGCACTTCCCAAAATTCTAATATTGTGCCCTTTCATTAGTTTTACAAAGATGGTTTCTTCGGTTCCTGAACTACACAGGAGAGTTTAGGGAAGGGGCTATTATGTTCCTTGTCTTAAGATTAAACTGTAAACTAAACTTCTCCCATAGTTAGCTTGACCTATGCCCACGAAAGAGCCAAGAGTCAGCTTGTGAGGTTAGAAGCAAGATGGAGTCGGCTGTCAGATTTCTCTCACTGTCATAATTTTTGCATAGGCAGTTTCCTGAGGACTTCTCTTAGAGATTAGACTTGCTGTGGGGTGAGGATGAATGACAATTGAGTCTTTTCAGGAGGCACTCTTTTTAGCCATAAAAAGAATTTCAGGACTCAAATGCCTTCAGCTTAAAATAATTCTTATGCCAAAACAGTATATTTTGGGGTGACATATTCTGATCCCCTTCACCAATCCTTTTAGTCAGAGAAACTCCCAGTTTTAACAATCTTCTGCTCCTTCGTCAGATTACTGACTCTTGATTTGAGACTGAGAAATGATGGCAACAGTTACAACCTGTTAGACCAGGTGAAAACAAAAATCATGAAGAATAGTGAAAAAATAAAAGAGAAAATACCACAGGGTAGGTAACTGTAAATGAGAAAGTAAAGAATATTGCCTGTTGTTTTTTTGTAGCAACCGAGAACTCTACCAAGTCAACAGGTTCACCTGCAAAAAATGAAGCATTTGCTTTTAAACCTCCTGGATTAAAAATGCAGTCTACTGACTTCCTGTTTAATCTTAGTTTTGTATCCTTGCCTGCAGCTCAAAGGAGTTCCCTTTCAGATACTCTTCACAAATGTTTGATAGGTTGTAAACCCCAGGATCCACGAGTTCCTTCCAGTGCCATGCAGAGTAGCTCTGGGACAGCTTTCTCAGTACAACTCTGGATACTTTCTTATCCCTGGTTCCTTGTTTTGTTTTGTTTCTGATACATTTGCTTCTAGTAACCTAGGATTCAGACAGTGGCTCCAAGAGCTCACCCAATCTTGGCTTCTGACGCAATCGTGGCTAAAAACAACATGCATTCCTTTCTTGTGGGAGGAAAGCAGTGGTGTGTGGAGACAGTATGAACCTGGGCTTGCGACAGCAGAGCTCAAATTACACAGTGTATCCTGAATCCATGAATGTTGTGGTGTTAATTTGAACCACTAAGAGGCCTCGTGAATCCCAGCCTCCGGTGATCCACCTGCTTCGGCCTCCAAAGTGCTGGGATTACAGGCGTGAGCCACCACGCCCGGCCCAGAAAACAATTTTTAAAATGGGTAGTGGGATTGGTTTTCAGGCCTGGAAATAAACATAACTCTAGTTGATGAGGCCTGATTAATTTGGTAAACTTGAACATGGTGATTACTTCAGTGCTACTGAGACATGGATCACAGTCTATAACTTTTTATTGTCTGGAAATGAAGACTCTACTGCATACAAATGTGTCTGAGTATGTTTTTTTATAGACCATGATGCTGGGATTGAGAACTACAACAACTACAGAGGGTGATAGCTGCTTCTAACTGAATTGCAGGATTTATAGAAACAAAATGATAGCTTCATGGCTTTACATTTTTTATTAAGATATGATAAAGAATTTCAAAGATATTCCTTGAAGAAGCTATTTTTTTGTAGATCCAGCCATGTTAGAGGCAAAAGTCAGCCCAGGATTTGATCCTCTAAGCAAGAGAATAAAAATGGCTGGGTGCAGTGTCTTATGCCTGTAATCCCAGTTCTTTGGGAGGCCGAGGTGGGCAGATTGCCTGAGCTCAGGAGTTTGAGACCAGCCTGGGCAACATGGTGAAACCCCATCTCTACTAAAATAAAAAAATTAGCTGGGTGTGACAGGGTGTGCCTGTAGTCCCAGCTACTTGGGAGGCTGAGGCAGGAGAATTGCTTGAACCCAGGAGGCGGAGGTTGCAGTGAGCTGAGATCACGCCACTGCACTACAGCCTGGGTGACAGTGAGACTCTGTCTCATAAAAAAAAAAAAAAAAAAAAAACCAGAATGAAAATATAAAGCAAAGAGCGAGCCAAACTGGTATTGCCTGTTGTCCCACCTACTTGAAAGGCTGAGGCCAGGGGAGGATTGCTTGAGGTGAGTTCAAAGCCAGCTTGGAGAATATAGTGAGGCTCTAAATTATATATGTATTGGGTAAATTCACCTTTACCGTATCTTTTATGTACAAGCAATGGGATTGATTAACAAATAACGGGACTCTGTAAAATCAAATGGGTAAATTTGGGTATATCTTAATAAATATAATAACCTTGAACCCCACAAATCTCTCTAAGCTTCCTTTAAAAAAACAGACTTTCTGTCTGAGTAGGTGAGTCCTTTTTTGTTTGAAGATACTAGAAAGATCTTACTGTAAGGTCTTTTAGGCTGACTGACCATGCATGAATGGCACAGTAACCTCTGTGGCCTGCACATACACGCCAGATGATCAACCCCTGTGGCGCAAATTTTCTTTCTTTAGTCTCTCATTTATGCCAAAGACAAAGCATAGTAGGATGAATTTATTTGTAAAATGTTTTCAGTGTTATTATATTTGGCCTGATTATTTGCATAAAGTGTAGCAAGAATAGTGATTAGTGATATACGTTTTTTTTTTTGAGACAGAGTCTCACTCTGTTGCCAGGCTGGAGTGCAGTGGCGTGATTTCAGCTCACTGCAACCTCCACCTCCCAGGTTCAAGTGAATTCTCCTGCCTCACCCTCTTTAGTAGCTGGGACTAAAGGCACACACCACCATGCCCAACTAATTTTTGTATTTTTAGTAGAGACAGGGTTTCACCATGTTGTCCAGGATGGTCTCGATCTCTTGACCTTGTGATCTGCCTGCCTCAGCCTCCCAAAGTGCTGGGATTATAGGCATGAGCCCCCCTGGCAATATAGGCATTTTTTAAGCTGGTGTTGCTAGAACTTTGTCATAAGGTATCTCAGATTAGGCTTTTTAAAGCTACTTAAAGTTAAGAAGCCAAGCCAAAGATTTGCCATCAGACTGTGCTTATAAAACCAGTATATAAAACAGTATATAAAATATGTGTATATAAAACCAGTGAATTCTTCTCTTTTTTATATCACACATAGTTTATTATGTGAATTTTTTACAATACAAACAAAAAAACCAGAAATGTAATATATGAATACAGCTAAATGCAGAATGGTGACTTTTTTCTCTTTAAGAGGCCGTGATTCTCATTTCTAGTGAAATCAACAGATTGCATATATGTAGGAACACGTTGGTCATTACCGTCACAATTTGGCCTAGAAATGATCTATAAATGCATTTTTTTCCCCTGCTACTTACCATAAAGTGTAAAAGGGGAGTTAAAGGAAAGTTTCCTTGTTGGTTCCTACCACATGAGAGATGCTATGTGCTATTTTAGCAGGACCAATATATGGAAAATGTCTAAATTAAATCTTTTTTACAAAAAATGAAGAAGTAATGAGATTCTAGCTAAAGAGCGCACTAAATGAAAAAATATATATATATTTAAAGAATCCAAAACAAACAAACAAACAAAAAGAGGTTATAAAAAAGCCCTAGGTGCACTGTAAGCACATAGGGTTTTTTTTTCCTATGTGCATTTTTTTCTTCTTTTTTTTTTTAGTACTACTCTGCACTTCTTGGTAAGACATTTCCATGTGTATTTTCAAACAATGGAAGTCAAAAAGTAAGGTCAACTGTTAGACTAAATTACATTATTGTATATGCTGCACTGAATGGAACCTTTCTATTATAATTGATCATAAAGAAGCATAGTTTGCATCATATTATAGCAATTTATCCTCAATGAAAACATTCCAGAGTCCCGGCATTTGATGTCTGTTCAATCGTGATTCTGCATATAGGTAGTCCTCAAATTTTCTATCAACATAGTCGATAACAGGCTGCCAGCAATTGGTCTGTTATCCACTGCATCTCCAAATCCTGGGGTATCAACTATTGTGAGCAGTAACTGAACACCACCTTCTTTAATTAAAACTTTGGATTGTTCTACCTGTACAGTCTTTTTAATTATATCAGAAGGACCTGGATACTCTAGAGAATACAAATCTCTGAGGAATAATGAATTGATTAATGCCAGCTTTCCCAGTCCAGATTCACCCACTATCATAAACGTGAATTCAAAACCTCTCTTCACTGACTTTCTGTATACTTGATTTGGGAGATTGGCAGATCCCACATAGCCTTCAAGTTTCTTCTGCTGAGCTACCATGGTGCTGATGTTGATGATCCTCTCCCTAGCAGCAGCAGATCTCACACTGACCAACATCCCTCCCCGCTCCACAAATTCCTCTCTTTTTGAGGTTCCCAGAATATTTGGAGATTTCTGGATGTGTCATAAGGTGATATTATTTACTTACCATAAGATCAGGAACCTTGTAAGGGAACTGTGTAGATGAGGCACCAAGCCAGTCTTCCCAAGAGGCCTTTTATTTGCTCTATGAAGACAACCTAAATTGCTCAAAGCAGTTTGGTCATATCCAAAAATATATCATTCAGTTAAAGCCTTGGTAAAATAATCAGTATATCTAATTGTGACCTGTTACAAAAGAAAGCAGATTATTATTGAACGTATGCAAATAACTGTATTACCATAAATTAAGAATACTTACAAATAGCATCCAAATTTTGGATAAATCAGGTATAGAAAGGGAAATGTTTCCATTTTATTCACAGAAGTATACTTTACCCAATTGTTGTAAGCTATAAATATTAATAGTTAAATTTTTTTGACTCAAAAGCAAAACAAAAAGAATCAGCAATATTTTAAACAAAAAGTTATAAAAATTATTTTAGTCTTTTACCAGTTTAGTTCCATGTAATTCATTCTTGTGCTGCTTGAAGTTATCAACTTTCATGAACTCATTAACTTTTTTTACTAGAGTCTTGAAAATTTTCACCTTATTCAATGTCATGACCTCCAAAGTTATCAAAAACCTATATTCAAGAGTGCTTTCAGGATCCTTATTATGAATTTCCTTGAAGAAGAATCAAATTTTGGACTATAGCTGATTTTAAACTTTTTCAAGAAGCTTTATGCTTGAATAAATGTCTATGAATGGCAAAAGACTTAGAATAGCCATAGTTAAAGACAGAATTGACAAGAAAATTTGGTTATTTCTGTGGCATACAACAATTTAACACAATAATCATATCACGACTTAACACAGGACAAGACATAATTTTAGGAATCTCATATAATTTTGAAGCACATATTAATAACACGTTTCTGCAAATGTAACTCAGAGTTAAATACCACTTCTATTTGGCAGTGTTTTCCATATGATTATTATATACCAAAATCAAAAGTTAGTTTGAGGTTAAAAATACTTAATTTTAGAATATAAAATTAGATTTTGAGACATTTGTCAACTATCAAAGGCTTAAAACACTTTTGATAGAAAAATAAGAAAGTTTTCAAACACTGGATCAAAATAGGATTACATGTAAGTGTAAAGTAAGTTACTCTATTTTTTTTCTTTTGAGATGGAGTCTCACTCTGTTGCCCAGGCTGGCAGGCTGGAGTGCAATGGCATAGTCTTGGCTAACTGCAACCTCCACCTCCCGGGTTCAAGTGATTCTCCTGCCTCAGCCTCCTGAGTAGCTAGGATTACAGGTGCCTGCCACCACGCCTGGCTAATTTTTGTATTTTTAGTAGAGATGGGATTTCACCAAGTTGGCCAGGCTGGTCTCAAACTCCTGACCTCATGCTCCACCCACCTCGGCCTCCCAAAGTGGCCGATTGCAGGTATGAGCCACTGCGCCAGGCCTTTTTTTTTTTTTTTTTTTTGAGACAGAGTCTCCCTCTGTTGCCCAGGCTGGAGTGCAATGGCATGATCTCGGCTCACTGCAACCTCTGCCTCCTGGGTTCAAGCGATTCTCCTGCCTCAGCTTCCAGAGGAGGAGCTGGGACTACAGGCACCCACCACCACACCCAGCAACTTTTTGTATTTTTAGTAGAGATGGGGTTTCACCATATTGGCCAGGCTGGTCTCGAACGCCTGACTGTATGATCCACCCACCTCCCAAAGTGCTGGGATTACAGGCATGAGCCACTCATTGGCCTGGCCAAGTTACTCATTTAGCCAAAGTGATAATGCAAAGATTTCAGAAAGGAAAAACCTTTACTCTGATAGAGAGGAGACTCAGTTCTCTAAACAATAAAAAAGACAAGACAGCCTGAGTCGAATGCTTTTTTTTTCTTTTGCAATGTATTTAAAAGGTGAACAAAAAAATCTTGTATTATTATCTCTTATTAATATTATATGGAAATTTTGTTTAAAAATTTATCTCTATATCGGTATATTATTAATGCTAAAGCTAATTTTAGCAAAACCTTATGAACAGATCTATCTAATCTCAATTAGTTTTGACCACAGAAGATAAGATTTTTATAAACCTTTTATAATTTTTTAAATTGTTTTATCTATTATTAACTATTAAAAATTTAAAACCTTAAAAGAAACCTGTAAACTAAACCTGTAAACTATAATCCCAGCACTTTGGGAGGCTGAGGCATCGGGATCCTTTGAGTCCAGGAGTTCAAGAGCAGCTTGGGTAATAAACCAGGATTCCACTCTACAATACAAAAAAATTTAAATTATCATTGTGTGCACCTATAGTCCAAGCTACTTGGGAAGCTGAGGCAGGAGGAACCCTTGAGCACAGAAGTTTGAGGTTATAATGAGCGGTTAACACCCCTGTACTCCAGCCTGGGCGACAGATTGATACCCCATCTCAAAACAAACAAAACTCTCAAACTGGACAAATTTTTCTTACCAACAACTGTATTTTTAAGTCATAAACTTTTTTTTTTTTTTTTTGAGAGATGAAGTCTTGCTGTGTCTCCCAGGCTGGAGTGTAATAGTGAGATCCTGGCTCACTGCAACCTTCACCACCTGGATTCAAACAATTCTCCTGCCTCCCAAGTAGCTGGGATTACAGAAGTGCGCCACCATGCCCAGCTAATTTTTGTATTTTTAGTAGAGACAGGGTTTCGGCATGTTGGCCAGACTGGTCTCAAACCCCTGACCTTAGGTAATTCGCCCACCTCAGCCTCCCAAAGTGCTGAGATTACAGGCATGAGCCACTTCGCCCTGCCAACCTTCTTTATTTAAAACATCCTTTTTGTATACATTAAATATAGAAGTGTTTTTGTATATGCTGTATATTTTTTGTATATAGAAGCATTTTTTTATATCTAAAAGCCTTTTTTTTTTTTTTTTTTGAGAGAGACAGAGAGGATCTTACTCTGTTGCCCAGGCTGGAGTGCAGTGGCATGATCATGGTTCACTGAGGCCTAGACCTCCTGGGTTCAAGCAATCCTCCTACTTCAGTCTCCTGAGTAGCTGGGGTTACAGGCATGTACCACCATGCTTGGCTAATTTTGTGGGTTTTTTTTCTGTAGAGACAAGGTTTTACCATATTGCCCAGACTCATCTTGAACTCCCAGGCTCAAGCAATCCACCAGCTTTAGCTTTCTGCAGTGCTGGGACTGTAAGCATGAGCCACCATGCCCAGCCTAAAGTAGAAGTTTTAATGATCTATAATAATTATAATATTAATACTTACGCTGGGCACAATGGCTCATGTCTTATAATCCCAGCACTTTGGGAAGCCCAGGCAGAGGGATCACCTGAGGTCAGGAGTTCGAGACTAGCCTGGCCAATATGGGGAAACCCTGTCTCTACTAAAAATACAAAACTTAGCTGGTGTGGTGGCATGCATTTGTAATCTCAGCTATCCAGAAGGCTGAGGCAGGAGAATTGCTGGAACCAGGGGCAGGGTGGGGGTGCCAGAGGCTACAGTGAACAGAGATTGCACCACTGCACTCCAGCCTGGGCGACAAAGCAAGACTAGGTCTAACTAATAATAATAATAATAAAAATGCTTAGTAACTCTGATTTTTAGTGAAAAATCAAGTAAATAAGCAATTTTAACTGTTATGTACCAGATGTAGAACCCAAGACAAAGGAAAGAGCTCTCAAGACAATCTCTGTAGGATCTAATTTCTCTCAGCATGGCCAGGAGGCACAGCTGGACTAGGGAAAATGAGGTACAGGTCATGTCCCCGGTCCTCAAATGGCCACTGGTCTATGCCACTGGTATAGGCCTCGTGTGTGTGTGTGTGTGTGTGTGTGTGTGTGTGTGTATGATTTGAATATCAGCTTTTAATTAAGCTGACTTCTGACCATGTAGCTTTTTTTAAATTAAAAAAATATTTTAAAATTTTGTTTCAGATTTTAGCTGGGACAAACAGCTGACATTGCTGGCTTTTGATCTTTGTAACCAAAGGCACCCTACTTAACCAAGAATGCATGAGGTGTCTCCAGAGAGGTACAAAGAAGTCCTCACAAGATCCAGAACTAACTTCAAAGATAGCTCAGTGAAGTAAGAGTTTTGCTAATGACAAATGGAGTATAATTTACATCTGTCTGATTATATTCTCTAGGGTTTCAGATTCTCAGCTGGCCATCACAAATAAAGGCCCAAAAAGCCCATGTGCCCTCACAGCTAGAAGACAATCAAAAGCTGTCCATGGAAAGGAAAAAGATGAAAAACAAATGGGTACCCCCAAAAGTAAAAAGTCACACAATTATCAAACGAAAAGGGGCTGATTCCCTGCCTAGAAGTCAAACCCAGGCCACTCTGGTGAAAGCACAGAATTTTAGTTAGACTACAAGGTGGACCAGACTACTTAGTGAATCTTGAAGGAGATCCAAAGTAAGGCGTTTGAGTTCATAAAACGTTTTAACTTTATTTTTAGTTAGGGGTTTGCTCTTTAATTTTGTCAAGATAATTTCTAAGGCTAGCCATGACACCATTATATGTCTTTCTTTTAATGTAATCTTCCTATACATACAAATAAGGCAATTGTTGAGAGTGAGAGATCTTTAAAATTTTTTTTTTGAGTTCAGGAGTCTTTCTAATTTAAAGGAGCCATTGTCTGGACATTGAAAATTAGAATTTCCACTGGTATACCTAATTCAATGTGACCTAATCCAATAGCCTCTTCATTGGAAAACCCAATATATAAATTTCTAGGTTTAATCTAAGTTTTTATTATTTAAGAAAATGATGTTTTGGCTGGGCACAGTGGCTCACGCCTGTAATCCCAGAACTTTGGGAGGCTGAGGCAGGCGGATCATGAGGTCAAGAGATGGAGACCGTCCTGGCCAACATGCTGAAATCCTGTCTCTACTAAAAATACAAAAATTAGCTGGGTATGGTGGCATGCGCCTGTAGTCCCAGCTACTCAGGAGTCTGAGGCAGGAGAATCACTTGAACCTGGGAAGTGGAGGTTGCAGTGAGCACCACTGCACTCCAGCCTGGACAACAGAGTGAGAATATGTCTCAAGAAAAAAAAAGAGAAAAAGATGTTTTTGAAGAGACATAGAAGTGGCAATCTCAAAGATCCTCTCCCTCAAAAATTTACTCCCAGAAATCAGCTGAGATGGAAAGATTCTTGTTGCCACACGTGGTTAAGGATTCTATTTGTGCATACATTGCCTCTGGTGACTTACAAATTTGTGGGGGCCACCAGTCACAGACCTCTTAATCTGTGACACCAAGTAAGCTCTTGTAGGTAGAATAGGACTTTTCCAACACTAACCCAGCAATAAGGGATGAGGCAACAAAAGCCCTGTAGAGATGGGACTTTTTTTTTTTGAGACAGAGTCTCACTCTGTCACCCAGGCTGGAGTGCAATGGTGTGATCTCGGCTCACTGCAACCTCT